GTCCGAGAAAAGACTGGCCGATGGGCATCCCCAGCTAATATTCGATTTCTAGACGTGCAACTTTCTCGTATTACAGATCAATGCTATCAGTAGTCGAGATTCATAATGAGACAGGTTTGTACTTCATATAGTGCTACGGTACTATTACTATGCTCACATGATTAGCAAATATCTGGTCACATCTCTTAGGGGCCATATACATCCTGTTGGGGCTTTTACGGTTCCTTGCCAGCTCACCAACTACAAACCTAGATCCGAACACCCTAGCCGTGGCTATATTCTATCTATCCAGTACACTCTGCTTCACACTATCTGGTATCTACCACACCCTATCAGACCACAGCCCCCCAGTCCATCGCACCAGCAATGAACTAGACCACCTTGGCATTGTCATTCTGGTATGCGGCGCTGGCGTTTCTGCCAATCATTTCGCGTTCCTTGATGAAAGCGAGTTACGGCTCAAATATTTCATCAGTCTAGTCGTCATTGGTGTAGTTTGCGGGTGGCTCACACTGCAGTCAAAGTTCAGACAGTCAAACTACCGGTCTATGAGAGCTGTTATTTACACTGCACTTGGCTTGAGCATGGTTTTACCTGTTGTGCACGGATGGAAGAAATACGGTTTCACTACATTGAATGATAGAATGGATGCGTCATCGTTCTTTCAAATGGGTGGCTTTGTATTTCTTGGGGGTACTGTATACGTGGCTCGAGTGCCTGAGCGGTGGTACCCCGGGACATTTGATCTCCTGGGACAAAGCCATAACTGGCTCCACGTGTTGGTTGTTATTGCAGCGTTGCTGAGACTCAATGGACTTTGTGAGCTTCATCTAAAATGGCACAATCATGAACTGGGGGAACGAGCTTAATTGGTCACCCGTCTCAGTTCAGCAACGCCCTAACTTTGTCTTGTCATGTTCCTAACCTGCCAGGGATCTGAAAATAGAAAATAGATAGAACATCACAGATCTTATTTATAATGAGATAATAGCTGAAATAGCGGGTGGAGAGACTCTCCAGTTTGTGGCACTCTACGTATATGGTTTGTTATTAATGGGGAGAAACATCTTTTCTTAAGCAATTGCTATTGAATAAAAGGTCTTAGCTATTACAGGTTCGACACAGAGATAGAACTGTGACATGGTGTATCTATGCACGATCATGTGCCTTATACAAATATATATATAGGTAGGTGCATGAAAGCCCATCTATCAGCCAATAAAGCATAGCGAGACGGAGCAACCCACTTGCCAAGCCTCGTGTTTTTTTCCTTTGGTGACACCATTCCCAATTCCAAAACAGGGCCATCTTCGCCGACGACTTCGCTTCCAAGCCCTGGTTTATGAAGAGAGATGTTGTTTCTTCCATGACTAATATCGAATGACTTGATTCATTCCTTTTGAATTTTCATCCATCGATGACGTTGTTCAGCTTAAACCCAGGCTAGAAGAGGAAATTGCAGTTGAATGCCATGAAACCTCAATACGGGTTCGTTATTCCGGTTTAGGCACGGAAGACATGGAAGATGTCACTGCCGTCGGATGGTCAGTGCCATTTTAAGCGAGCGAACGAAACCGCCCAACTGCCGGGTGAGTCGACGTTTACCGAGCCGCAGATCAAATGCTCGTATTTGCATGGCCAGCAAGGCCCACATGGTGGAAATTAACAATCTATGATCTCGTATCGTAGTGGTTAAATACTACCATCAACCGTTATAAGGTGCCCAATGGATGTCATGCCCTCTTATTGCTCCTCCCATCACCACAAATAGCCGCAGCCATGGCACTCAAGACTCTCGGTTTAGCCGCATTGTCCCTTGCACCAATTGCACGCGGGGCGGTGTTTGACCTGCCCGTCATTGTGTATAATGGTTACGTAGGTTGAACCAATCCGTGAGATGAATGCGTCGGCGCCTAACATAATTTAGAAATTGATTGAACTCGACATCGGAACCCCGGCGCGACCATACCGTCTTCTTTTTGATACTGGGAGCACATCTACTTGGATCGTAGACAAAGAGTGCGGCGAACATTGCAACAACGTGAGCGGGTATGCGCATCAATAGTTATATCTAACTAAATTGCTTTCTGCTAACAACCAAACCATATAGATTTGAGAGAATCGGCTATGATATTACCGCGTCTTCTACTGGCAACTATACCGGCCAGGAGGCATCGATCGATTATCTTGGTGGACGTGTCGCAGGGCTGACTGTGTCCGACAAGCTCACGATCGGAGATGTGAGCTCTGACCAGTTGTTCATTGCAGCAAACGAAAGTAATTGGGCTGCACTTCCCGCCCATGGCTTTCTTGGTCTGGCCTTCAACAGCATTGCTGATGGCGGCGCAACGCCCATATTTGAGACCTTGATGGCGCAGAAGCTCGTCGATGAGCCTCGCTTCGGCATTTACTACGATCAGACTGGGAAGGATAGCCCCGAAGGCGGACACGGTCAAGGCCTACTGACTCTCGGTGGTTCGAGGCAGGATAAATATGTCGATGGCGACATGACCAAGGTGCCTCTTCTTCGACGCGCTGGCGGTTACGACGTGTGGCGAAGCACACTCTATGAAGGAAAGGGCAAGCAAGTGGCGTCGAATGGTACCGAAGCTGAGACGTCAATTGACTTCTCGTGGGGTAACATTGTCTTTGATACCGGAGCTTCCAGCATGGCACTCGCCGCCGATAAAATTGAAGAGGTTTATGCATCTATTGGTATGAACTGGACTGCCATTATCACGGGCAAACACATACCTCTCTGCAGCGAGTTCACCGACAAATGGTCCTTCACTTTGGTTGTTGGCAACTACGATAACAAGAAGGAGCTCACTGTCACAGGAGACCAACTCAAGCTGCCTGGTTTTGCCAACCGGGAGGATGCCTGCTGGCCACCTTTTGATGACTCAGGAGCAAATGGCTTTTCGCTGATCGGTACGAGATTCTTGAGGAATTTCTATACTGTGTGGGATTATGGAACCAATCCAAGTGAGGATGAATACTATTCGGCATCGTTATGGTTTGGCAATCTCAAGGCCGACAATTAGGAGTACATCATGTGCCGTTATGGGATACGGATGATCGATCTATAGCTACCTAGTAAGAAAGCCGCCCTAATTTGAATCACCCATACTTCCTTAATACCCAACGCTACTTTAATGTCATCATCTTGCCTCTCCCACACCACACAAGTACTTCCAAGGCCCATCCACAAAAAATGTTACCGGCTTAGGCCGGCTTTATAGAGGTTTTATAGTCCATTAGAGACGCGAAACTAAGATGATAGGTCTCGCTCATTGACGGCACTTTTTCCAGGGAAGTCAGCTTAAGTTCCCCGTTGTAAGGCAGTGATATTTCTTGGGGCTGGGGTTGAGGTGAAGATAAAGTAGACAACTCGTAGGCTTGGCTGAGCAAGATAGGCTGAGGCTGAGGCAAGAAATTTGATTCGATGGGTGAGCGCAACGAATTTCTAATGCATGACAGTAGAAGTCCTAAATGTGTAAAGAAAAAAGACACCTAGATGCAAACCAATTTTCAGCAACTGGTGGGTTTGATGCACTGCCAGGTACATAGGTACATGGGAACTCTCCCTCTCGATGTGCCTCACTTCGCTTTCACTCTGCTCTATGGCTGGCAGGTGCCTTCGCAGTCGGTCAGTCCTTATAGCTAGCAGAAGATGGCTTTCCCTTACTGACTCCCGCCAAATTTCCTCCAAGTTCCTTCTTGAACCTCTCTAAACACCACACGCTGAGCAGTAATCCGACTTGAAGAGCCCAGTGCAACCTACATACCTGATCAACCATATCCTCCTCCTTCACGTGCCGCACCCCGAACTAAACACAACTACCTTGGTCTAGACAGCAGTTTCCTTCTTTGAGAAAAAGCGAAAGTACTTGTGGAAATACCCAGCACGCGCATCCCACGCCACCGTCGCCCGATGCCCCGACTCGCGATATTTACAATTATTGAGTGACATGACTTCTCCCGCTCTACTCGAGCCGCGACGTATATATTTTCCAATTTACAAGGCTCTTTTTACCAAGGAACAAGTGTACCAACAACTAGAGTGGCCGATGACTACCTACGAACAGTTTCGCACGAAAGGCGATGGAGAGCAACGATCTGCACTCCCGACAATTGCTCAAGAAATCGACAAAAACTTGTAGCCCCCCGCCGTCGAATACCAAGCATCAGATTGACAAGCACATCTCTATCACGGCCCTGCTCTTGCCAGAAATGAGACAATAATAGTGCCTTGGTCTTGGTTGGGTTGCAAGTAAGGAACAGTTTCAAAAGTCGTCAGCTGACTGTAGTCTACAGCTGCGAGTTTAGTTCACGTTGCAAGCTCTTCCAAGGCCACTATTTGCGCGCGTTGCTCCAGATTCCATCGCATCAAGATTGCGTATGGCGGCAGGGCTATGGTCTGCACCCGCCTGAGTTCTTTTGGCGTGGAAATTGATACAGAGCCATGACGCGCCGCCAAACTTCCAGCCTCAGGTTTCAAAAATGCTTCAAAGATATCCGCTGCCTACAGGAGAACGCGTTCAGATAAGATATATCCTTTAGCTTTATTGATCTCACCCCTGGTGCTCCTCTTGAGAGCAGAGGCGTTGGCATAATGAGCTTTCTTACCTAGAAGCGAACGGTGAACCGTCTCTTGTTTGTTCAGCTTCACGTGCACAGTTAACCGGCGTTGAGCTTAGGAATTTAAAATCTGAAAAAGTGAGTTTGTTGTACGTGATGCTTTGTTTGTGTTTACGCGACACCTTATGGCGCGTGGGCAGTTTTTTTGCCTCCTTCCCTCTTTTCTCCTCGTCACTTCACCACCTCCTCACCTTTCTTCCGCTTTCTCTTCGCTCATTTTTCTCTTCCCACACCTCGCATTTCCGCGTGAACGACTCCAGTAAATGCTGGGCTAAAATATCAACAACTTCCCAAACTCAACCATTTCTTCTCCAGTAACCTCTCTCATTCAACAACCAGCCGCGCTTTTCAGCGCCACCATGGAAGCCTCGATATTGCCAGAGGTGACAGCCCACTGTCGATTGCCGAACTCTCTGAGTCAGGACGACCAAAAATGCCAAAGCTGCCATGAACCTGGAGCCAAAATGGTCTGCGCAAATTGTCAAGTGGCAGACATCGGATCCCTCTCCACTCGATACTGTTCGCGAGACTGCCAAAAGGCACATTGGCAAGAACACAAGAAGATATGCAACGCTCGCCGCCGTTTCACACGTGCCATCCGCGTCCTCAATACAATCTGGGAAGCTTTCGTGGAAATCACGTATGTAAACCGGGTCAGGGTTACTGGCAAGACTGATAGAGTTATCCACACTACCCTCCTAAGCCAGAACGAAGCTCTTGATCATGGAGGATGGACCGGGGAGTCGATCTTTCCTGGTTTTTCCCAGGACGTGCTGGGGGGGAACCAAGATGAGGATGTCAAGCAAGCCATTCTCCATGATATCGGCGGCAACAACGGCAACGATATCGTAACCACAGGTTTGGGCTTGATCAAATCCCTTCTGACACGTGAGTTTTTTTTTCTTCTATTTCCTGAATACAAGCGGAATGGTCCGTACTAATAATGGCTTTATCAGCGGTTTGCTCCGATGTGACTGAAATCCGCTTCAAGCCCAAAGGCTGTGCCCTTGTCGTCAAAGTTGGAGGCAGTCCCAACCTGGAGCCCCACGTCGTCCTCCATGCCCAAACCCAAGGCGGCGAAGAATTCTGCATCGATTTTACTGGCGCCCGGTTTGGATGGCAAGAAAAGATGTATACATGGCGAGCCTTTGCTCAACATCGAGCAGAATCCCTCGACAGCCGTTTATCCCTCGGTGGCACCAATTTGCACAAAGCATTGATCATGGAGACTCACCCTGCAGACCAGTCATACAGAGTTGCGTACGATCTCCGTTGGGGAATTGCCGACGACGTGATCAAGTCAATCACAGCCTACTTCTCTGAAAAGAAGATTAATGCCTGGCTTTTCATGTCCCAAGCCAACACCACTTTCCCAAGCCAAAGCGATGAGCTGGTATCCAAGGCTATCACGGCTATCCACGATAGCATTCGTCAGCTCACTGAGCGCGGTATTGGGCGGTGGTATGTTGAGGTCCAGCCCACGAGATTCGCCTTGAGAGTTCTCCGTGATGAAGAGCTCGCCCGCAAGATGAAGAAGGTGTGGCTGAGCCAGAAGCAAGTTGACAAGGTGCGACTCAAATTTGCGCACTTGCCGAAGCGACGTATGGAGAAGGCTTGCTTGGACAAGTTGTCCGACATGGTGTTGAAGCGTTGGGCAAAGTACATGTATTGCCAGCACGGTTGATGGTATACGTGCTATCGCCAAGTTTGGGATTGCCTGCCCCAATGTAACTGAGAAGTGTTACCTGGTATTGGAAGTATTGATCATACTTAGAAAAAAATCTTTTTTGTTTCTATTCTCGCAATACGCGGGTATGGTCTGGCTGTGTTTTGGTTGGCCTAGCTCTTGAGAATCGTTGTGCCTGAGCCCTCATGGATGTGTCTTTAGCCTAGCTTTATTTGCCCTGCGGTTTCTATCTTATTTTCATACACCACATTTTCCTTTGCAACTGAAAGATAACTACGATCTAGGTAGTGGTTTACAAATAATCGCAGAGTAGCCAAATGAGCCCTCAGTTCCCAAATGCTCAATCTCAACGTTCCAGTTGGTCCCCTCACACTCCAAAAGTGGCCTTACGAAGTGTGGTTGGCGATAAGAAACAGCGAGGTAAACTCCACTGGGTTTGAGGATGCGAGATACCTCGCGCAAGTACTCGCCAGTGTTCTTTACGGTGTCGGCGGGAGGGTTCCAGGGACTTCCGTGTATCATGACATCGAGCGTACTCTTGTCAAAGGCGACATCAACCGAAGCATCGGCAATACTTTCCATGTGGCGCACATCCATCATCTCCCACCGGATCACGTCTGAGAGCCCCAAGTCGGCATGGCGCTGAGACATGGTCTTCACGACGACAGCGGAGAAATCGACGCAAAGCTGGCGATTGTAGCCTTTGGCGGCCAGATGCTGGGGGATTGTCTGGACACGTAGTTAGTATGGTGCCCCAAGTGAAGGGGATCATGGACATATACACTGTCGCCGGATCCTAGATGGACGATGTGCGGCTCTGCGGCGGGAGGGTAGGCTTGGAAGAGGCGTGGGTTGAAGAATTCCGCCAGGTCCTCGAATGAGCGCAGCCATTCATGGACCTGCTCCTCGCCTTTGACCGTCTCGGTATACCGCCCGTCCCAGTATTCGGCATACACCAGTCGTCCGTTTTCTTCGTCGCGACTTGCCATGGGAGCGCTTGGACAGGTACCGGCAGATACTTGCTTCCCTTGTCTTGCGGTTTTTTCCGTCGCGATTGATGCTAAGCCTAGCAGGGGTCGGCGGGTGTGATGGTGGCTCTGGATCACAGAGCGCCAAATGGATTTCCTGGGCGTGGTCAACCTTTTGAGCTGAACTTACCCTGTAGCTACCTAACCCGACATCGCACGCGCAAAAACCCAGACTCCTTGAACCAATGCCATCTATGATGGTTGAGCGAGGATTGCTGTGACGATCTTCAGTGCCTAATATGTAGTCTTTCGAATTTCTTCGCAAAAGCGTAAGTCCATTGCTTGGGCGCCCAACTTATCTCGGCAAGCAAGCCAAGGCCTGGTAATCGTCATATCGAAGTCTAGGGAAGTACATAGGAAGCTCGATGTTTGAAAAAAGCTAAGAGCTATTTTGGCTTTATTAGCCGTCTCTTAGGCTGCTTCCGTTTGTACACACAAATACTGTATTACCAGAATTACCAAGATAGTTATGATGATTAAATGAAATTCAAAGCAACAGAATCGACCAAGTAAGCAGAGTCGTTCAGCTCCCCCATTGTTGTATACTAACACGACGGCCTTGCCGGGATCTATCATCGGGCGCATACATAAGAACTCTTGTGCTTGTGAATTTGAATGTATTTGGCATTTCTTATAAGACATTTTGACCCTTAAATGGTAGCATTAAACTAGACGCTTTCGCCGATGGTATGTCAGAAGCTGCTACGGAGAACGTCAATCCCATTTTCGGAAGCTTAGATACATTTTCGATTCTAGACGATAGAGAGGCACACAAATCCGGTGAAGAGTGCGTAGGGGTGCCGTGTGGCCTAAGTTAATGCGAGAGATAAGCTTCGGCGGCTCCGTGGGCTAATCCTGACACTTGTCTCCTAAAATCGATCTCTGTGAATGGAAACTAAGGCAGCGCGGGGTGCATCTCGGGCTAGAACAAACTATCGTTTTTCATCGGCGACCTGAGCCGGCGACCTCAGTCGTACTATGCTTATAGCTTACCACTCCAACCTGCTGACGCTTCACTTGCAAGCCCAAAAATGACCTTCGCCGGCAGTTCTAGAAGAGCAAATAGACTCTACCAAAGGGAACATCAAGAAATTGAATCAGATTTCCCTTTACCTAATGTGCTTGAGAAAGTGGTTACAAGGAGACGTAAAAATCAATTCCTGATACAAGATGAGTGAGTGCTACTTCATGCCTAGCAGATAATCAATAACACGTACTCCGAGGAAATGGAGCACTAAAGATTGGGTGCGCCGTCGATTTCACCTGGTTAGATAATCCTCTGAAGACTACGGGGAACCATAACACGCGATGTTATATAGGATAACTCAGGAGAATCATCACCGACTCTTTTACACAAGGATGCGATACAAAATATACCAAGATTATTATAAGACAAACTCAAATTCCACGCTTCTATCTATTGAAAAAGAAAAGGAATTATTGATTGAAAGTAAAAGCAAATATAATCAAGAGCCTGTGCTGCAAAACTTGGCCACACCACCTGCTGAATTATAGGTTGCACATCCCCAAGTATTCCCACGCTTGTCGTGCATAATGCCTGCGCCAACTCGTCTGGTGCAATCTGTCCCTCGCCTAAAATAATCAACAAGCTCACCGAATTTCTGGATAGGCCCATTCTTTGGCACTGAGATGCAGTAGAGGTCGGGGTCAGTGTCGAGTTGCTTTAGGCGATAGTCAGATGTACCGGGCGTAGCAGGAAGTTCCTTGGCTGTCGACAGATGCGTGTAGGTAGTCATATTCTTGTCGCAGAGATGGATGTGAATCTGCATGTGTGTCCTTGCGCGCCAAGAGTTCAAGGCCAATGCTGTGGCCGAGTAGTTGTGAAAGCCGACGTCGGCCGGGAAACTCTGGGCAAAGTCCCAGCCAACGTTGCCCTCCTGAGCTGTTAACTCCTCAATGCTTGGGATAATTTTCGTATTGGTGATTAGGTCGTCGTTTGTTCCGTTGGTGATCAGTGCCCAGACATCATCCTGGCTATCTTTCTTAATGGTTCCAGTGTGCGGACATTTGACCGGGTTCTTGAGACAGTTGCAGAGAGAATGGAACCAAATACCGCAGCCCTCACAGTTGTTCTGGTCGTCTGTGCAGCCTCTGTCGCAGTGAAGAACGTCTTTGGGCTTTGTAACGGGCAAGCCGCATACTGCCTCACACACAACACCTGCTTGGCAGCCTGATACTTTTTCTTGGCATCTGCAGTTGGAGAGGTCCATTCTTTCTATTTCGCTGGTAGAGCAAATAGTTGGAGTTGCACTCGCAGTGCTCTTCGTAGCAGTGCTTTTAGTAGCCGTGCTTTTCGAAGAAGTTGTCGCGGCCAAGCCTTGGAGAGTAGGATCAGCAACAACGGCTTCGAAGGCGAAGCAAAGCACGATGGCACGGGCAACAGTAACCCGAATGTATGTTGACGGCAGCATGATGAGAACCTTTTATCGCTGATAAAGACGACAGGGGCTCTATTAATTCTTCTAGAGATTTGCAAATAATGTTTGATGTGTTGATATAGAGATGAATGAGTGTTTGTCGACGAGACTTGTCGAAATTGGTGTCCAGCTACAGCCTTATATATTTCCAGATGGCCTCTCTTTACGCCTTTTTCTATATCTATAAGATGCCCATATGGAAGATAGAGAGTAATTGGAGACGGCTACTCCAGCGAATAGTGCGACCAAATTTAGACTCTTGACTGTGCTTCAGCCGGTCCGACTTTGGGCTAGGCGAAACCTTGAAGCCATCGGCGACTCCACGTCATCACCTATTCCTAGTGTAATCCTTTACGCCACTTGACCGGTATAACGCCTTTGTTCGTTTGGGGTCAACTGCTCGGTCTTTCCGTAGGCAGAACCTTCCTCAGAACCTTGATGGAATCGCCGTTAGAGCCACAACTGTTGCTCCAGAGTTGAAAGAATGTGGCTGATATGTGTATTTGAAATCCAAAAAGTATATATATGTTAGAAGAGTAATGATGAAGCCTCAAATGAAAAAAAAAACCCTGCCGTAGAGTCCCAGACAGGGCTTGTGTCATCTTGGATTTCATGGGAAATCTTACGGATAGTGCTTAATATTGGTAATATTAACATTTTTAAATTAAGCTTTTGATTGATAAAGCTCATCTTCTCGCAAGCAACAGTTCAAAGACAGTTGATCCGATATCTAAGCGTGATCTATTACACACCCCATAGCCATGAAATCCTTGGGACAGGCCATATAACACTTATAATCTTTTGGTAGAACGCTTTCGACTTGAGTTACCCACGCTTTGATGATATCCGACTTGAACCGCATTGAACTTAATATCGACGGTATCATCTTCAACCCCACAACATATTCGACAATGAAGAAATGAATCATTAGTAGTTGAGCGACATAGTTTGTAGGACTCATAAAAGCATTAAACTCTTCTTGTGTTGGGTGACTGAATACGTGATATGCCTCGAAAAACGCTGCCCCGTGATGAGTGAGTTGTTAGGGAGGAATAGGGAGTATCGAATAGAAAGATTAACATACAGAAAACTTGTGAAAAAGTTGACATAGCAATGATTTTCTCGACTGTGCCGAAATAGTCAATCTCAAGTTTGGTTTGACACAGAGGGCGTATGGCTCTAAGAGATTCCAATAATAACTCCAAGGGAGGAGAGCTATGGTCTCTCAAAGGTTCACTACTCCGGAGAAGAGTTCGAACCTGTTCCTCGTGGTCTTGTACAGTAAATTGACGAAACAACGACAGGCTGATTGATGCCGATTTGAGCATCATCATACATCCCCTGATCATGGGATATATCTCGAGCATGCCATCGGACATATAGGACGATTGAAACGCAAGAACCATGAGTGCTGCGTACACGGCATCACCCTTAGTGCCTGACATGGCAGGGCTGTCGAGGGCCTTGTTAATCCGGGCGATAGCGGTGGTACGGTGAGAAAGTGCCTGTGTTTTATGGCCTTCACTGCCCCTGCAGAGATCGAAATGTGACGCGGACAACGCGAGCATGGCGTGGATCAAGAAGTCAAACTCAACGATTCGATGTTTTGTCAGTCAGGACATGATGTCTTCGCATAACGTAAGAGAAGCGCAACCTACTTCATGAGAAAACTGGCATACGCCGTCCCAAACCGCTTTGCCCCGCAACGGTAGCGGTGGATACGCATAGAGAACAAAATGATGGAATAGTTGGAAGTCGCCAATCGAGAAGTGGCCGCCGGTGGACTGCAAAGGCGCCGAGGGATGAATCCCCGAGTCACCCATAGCCCCATACTGACAAAATAGGCCGAGGCGCTCACAGTTGCGGCACACGGGGGTGTTTTCAGGACACTTGACCCTTCTTCGCTTGCAGGTGACACAGCCTCTCCTCGATTTAGTGTGACCTCTGCGTGGAATTATTTTGCGATCGATGATGGCCTCATCACGGGTCCCAACTTCATTTTCGGACGGGGATCCATGGCTCAAATCTAAAATAGCCATTCCAAACACGATGTTTTAATGCTGCTTCTGAAAACCCATCAGGCTACGATCAGAGTCAGCCGAACACGCTCGTGACAACAAGAGTTGCTCATGAGTAATACGGAATAGAGATAATCCGGGCTTACTACGAATGCCTTCACCATATTGGGAGAATCACCCATGAGCACCTTCAATCAGAACGCTAATTTCGAGCTCCCCGATGCTTAAAGTGAATGACACTGGAAGCACCGAGACATATAGTTACAAGATTGAACGAAGCTTATTCGAATTCAAACCAGGAAATATCAGACTTGGCATCTACGACTCCGTTTAAATGCCGTTTATACAACGTTCATATGGCCGTAATTATTTCGATTTTATACAAAATAGGTCTAAATGTCTAGATATGTCTAAAGAAGTTAAAACTTGGAGGCGTCTAAGTAATGGCCTAGCTCTATAGGCTCAGAATTTAACAGGTTCCCTTCTTCTTAGCCTCACAATCGCCCTTGGACTTGTCGCAGCCGTCGTACGCTTGGCATTGAACCTTGGGGAAGCAGTTGTTGGAGTAGGTAGCCTGGGGGTGGAACGAGTTAGCCATCTTATCTGTCAAGGTCGCAAAGTTTTCAGAAATGGGAAGAGATTTACCTTGTCGCCCAAGTTGGGGTTGATACCAATAAGCTCACCACCCTTCTTGGCAGTAACACCCTCCATGTGAACAGAACGGGCACAGTTGTTCTTGCAATTACCGCAAGAGCGATAGACCTTGCCGTAGTCTTCAGCATAGAAGTTGATGATGTTAACGTGGCCACATCCGTTATGCTGGATAACTTTATCAGAGGCGTGGTAAGCACCACCACCAATGATATTGGCAGTTCCGTCGCCCTTGATAGAAATGGCATCCTCGCAGACATCCTCGAACCAGACAAATTCGAGGTTGCAGCTGCCCTTGCAGTAGATACCTTCACCTTGGTTGGCACCAATAATGACGTTCTTCAGCGTAGCGCCATCTTCAAGAACGAAGACAGTGTCTTTCTCGCCTGTGGTATCGTGTCAGTATTTCCCCAAAATCAATTCAGGATATTCTGGAAGCATTGGAGTTTGCCAAATCTTACCTCCCTCCTTCTGGCCGCCACACTTGACACCACGGTCGTATTTGACCCAACCAGCATCAAAAACTTCGCCCTTCTTGAGGTAGCGGGGTGCGCTGAGACTCTTGGTACCAGTGGACTTAGGAAGACCACCCTCGTAGCCCAGGCAGGCCATTGCTGCAGGGACAGCGGCGAGGAGAGACAGAAGAGCAGCGGGATGCATGGTGTCGGTTTTTGTCGTTGTTTTGGGAGTGATAGAGAATCGAAATTGTGATAATTCCGGTCAACGGACAATATTGTGAACGAAACAAGAGCAAGATAACAGATTTCCAGGAAACTTTGTTCTCTAAGTTGTCTTTGCTGCTGGGAGAAGGAAGAGAAACGCAAGCTGAGAGAGGAGAGCTCACATATTTATCATGAAATCTATCCCACGCTCGCTCGCTCGATGCCCAGACCGCCCGTGATGCCACAAGCCGGAACACCCGCCACATTCCTTGGCAATTCATCCCATCCGCTGTTCACGATCCAGTTAAGCTTCTTGGTGGCCTTGTATGGGTGGGGACGGATAACAAACATGCTTGTGCAACCCTGAAACAACCTAGATGAGGGTGGAGAATGGTAAGGCTCTGAAACTGGTTTCTCGGAACTCTAGCTCCCATTTTCTACTTCCAGTTGGTCGCGCCAGGGCAAGCAATAACCATAGGCCTAGAATCCTCTTGGCGCACCACTAATCGTCTGAATTTGGCTGAAATTAACACTCTTCGTATTGGGTCACGCTCCGGCAAGTGGGCAGACAGCCACCAGCTATTCCCTGTTGTACTGATTCTCCCCAGGTGCCTAGTCCACTATCTGACAACCGGTATGATGGGCCCGTCCCAGGTCCTTCTGATTTAAGCTTACAAAACAGTCTTTTCTTCAGAGTGCAATTTCAATTTCTCCCGACCGCCACATTGTCGGAAGGGTGGTGGGGGTTATACTCTTTGGAATACGAATCGGCCTGCCACCCGACCCGGAGTCATGTTGGCATGTTTCAGGGTTTTCCCGTTCATGGCTCATGGGCCATTTTTGGTTAGTTGGCGATTGAAGACCGGGAATCTTCAGACGAAGAAGACACTAACCTATGCTCCCGATCTCTGACATTTGCTATTTTAGTTAGATCGGCGCGAAGACTGAGTATGATCAACCGGCTCCCTGTACAGCTCAACAAAACAAAATCCTGCTATATTAACTATAAAGAGCCCATAAAGCTTTACTATGGCCGAATAGAGCATCACACTTGCCCAGTAATGCGGTGAGAAGGTAACGGGATGATGGAGCCTCAGAAGGTGGAGTAGCGGTAAATGAGAGTGTGATAAGGGGAACTTGGCAGTGGCTTGGCTGCGGATTCAAACGCCAAGGTCTTACAGAGAGATGGATAACTGAAGACTGATACGGGGCAATGCAATTGAATGATCTAGACTCCTCCCCTGTATCCTGCCTCGTAGCTGACTTTTGTATCAATCTACTCGCGGGCCAATAACGTACATATTTCGTTAGTATTTTTACAGCCCAAAGATCATGACAACTGTCGAATAAATATGTGCATAATTCGATACACGTAATTGGTGAAATGGCTCTCGCTTTTAGGAAAGGACTAACAAGTGATAAAATGGTTACCAAAATTTATCTTGGATTGCTTTGCTAATTTGTGGCCCGTATTGCCGCATGCTGTCGTGACAGAATGATTCGATGTTAATTTTATACATTCGACAGCATTTCTAAAAGATGTCACTGATGAGGGTCAAGGTACAATGGATCAAGAAATAGAATCACTATCAACGCATTGATTATGCATCTGATCATACGGTAAATACAGTTGAGCTACAGGGAAGGAGGATACGTGGCATGA